CTTCTACTCAATCCAGCATTTGATAAAAGACATATGGCTCTCTCCAGCAGGGTTCTGTTCATTCTCTCGGCCACTCCATTTTGTTGTGGAGTGTTTCTCACAGTGTATTGTCTATCAAATGCTCCTTCTGTGGTTGATTCAAGTATCTACTTACAACACTAACTGCATAAGCAAGATCAGGCCTAGTACATACCATAGTATACATTAGGCTTCCAACAGCACTGGCATAGGGAACCTGTAATACATTGTTTTGTTCAGTTTGGCTTAGAGTCTGAGCAACAATTTTCAATTGTATTATCAAATATTATATATAATTTAAATATTATTAATAATATTTTTATATAATTAAATATTATTTTTTAAATGTTAATAAATTGATATTTTTGTAACATTTTAGTAATATTACTAAGTTTTAGTTAATTTTATAATTACTCAGAGTCTCTTACATGTCTTTTAAAGTAGAAGACATTCTTAATTAATTGTCATTAAATTTTGATCAAATATTAAAATTTATTTATCTTAAATATTTATGTTATTCACTTAAATGAGATTTTAATTTTGAAAATAATTAAAAATTAAAAATATATTATTTATATAATATTTATTTATTCGATGTGAAACTTTTTAAAAATAATTAAACAAAAGTAATATTGAGATAAAAAAAATATTCTATTTATAGTAACTTAAAAAATGTTATAAAATTAACTCAATTTTTAATAATATTTTAATAAATATAAATAGAAAAATGTTAAAAAAGTTAAATGCAGTAATCTTATTAAGTTTCTGATTTTAAGAGCGATGAGTTAAAAATATATAACAGGAATTGATTGGATTAATCATCGGCACATGCGATACGAATATACGATTGATTTATAACATGTGAAGAGATGCATTAAATTTACTGATTAAAAAAAAAAGGAGAGAGATCAGAGATTTATTAAGTTTTCTTAATTATCAACTTTAGTTTTGGAAATTATTAATGATTACGCGTATTCTTTAAAGTATGACATTTGGAAAGGGTGGGGTTGGGGAGCAATTTTAATCATTGTTAATGGCTGCTTTAAAAAAAAAAAATAATAATGGCTGCTTTAAAAAAAAAAAATAATAATGGCTGCTTTCTATTGCTAGTCTTTCTGGCTCATACCATAAATATCGTATAACTCAATCGAAGGATATCTTTAACTAATTTGTTTTTGCATCTTTTTATATCTTTTGTGCTCAATTTTGTTTCTCTTACGCATGTTCAATAATTCTTCAAGTCCACTCATACCGTGCAGCAGCCACTGACATCATTTGGAAAAATCAATTGCTTTTTTAAATGACTGCTTATGAGAAACTATAGTTGATTACTAATATCAGTATTTTATTTATTTTGTGGTTACATATAAATAATAATAAAAAATTGCACGACAGTATCATCTAACTACAAATTAATATGTAGAATAAATTTATTAATTTATAATAAATATTTTAAAATTTATATTTATAATATTCTTTTCATTAATTTATTAAGCATACATTGTCCATATTCATCATCTAGTTGGTGACACTCTTCCAGGTGCATGCATTACAATGACATTGACTATTCTGATCTTCTTAATACGTCTACATGATTTTTTGTCAAAAATTATGTTTGTTTTTGTGAATTGATCATCTAGTTGGTGGTACTCTTCAATTTGTGTGTGATTAATTACTTACGTAGTTGAGTTTTTTTTTTTTTTTTTAAGAATAATGTTATAAGGTTTACAAAGGTTTTTTTTTTTTTTTTTTACAAGAAGGTTTAAAAAGGTTAATTAATTACTTAGATAAAGGTCAAAGATGTCATGGTGTGCCTGCTACCTGGATCATTTTAAGACTAGTTATATCGTTTTGGTATTCTCGTACGTTATATAGTTCAATTTCTACGTGATTTCAATTACTTACATTGAGTCATTTAATTTCTAATTGATTAAATTAAATGTATCACCTCAAATTAGGAAAATAAATAAATACTCATAATTTTTAAATGATCAAAATAATCAGGAAACCAAAATTAGGAAAATAATTAGGAAAATGCAAGCAACTATTAATTTTTATTTTTATTTTTTTACAGAAGGAACTAAAGTTAAGGAAACCAAAATTACATATTAGAATAAAGGGATTAAGAGTAAATTAAGTCTTAAACTTGCATGTAGATTAAAACATGACACAAATTTATTGCTCTCACCAATCACTAGCTAAATTATATTTAAATAATTAAATGGTCAAAATTAAAATAAATAAATAAATAAATAAATACTCATAATTTTTAAATGATCAAAATTTAAAAATAAATACTCAGTTTTTCACAATTTTAAACTGAGATATATTTTGACTATACATGCTATTTTTTTCTGTAGGAGCGAGAGTTCTTCCAACTCTAAATAAGAGAAGAAAAATAAGCAAGACCAAGACTTTTCATGGTTGACAGATAGTAGAAGATAAGGATTGATTATAAGGTGGGTAAACATAGACATCACGATATTTTATTATATTATAATTCAAATTTCCTTTAAGACATGTTCAAGGAACTGTTTATACATTGATATATAAGGAGACTGCAGGAATGAAGTGTGATCAAGTTCTGTGCCCTATTATATATAGGCCTAATCCTTCACTGAGTTTTTTGTGGTGTGTTACATTTTGCACTATGGCTTCTCTCTTCCTTAGAAACCAGAGGTTCTCATTGGCTACTCTACTGCTTCTTTTGGAACTATTGACAGTAAACCTTCGCACGGCAGGTTGGTCGTCTCTCTATTAATTGCTACATCCATTTGCGCCATTGATAATTAAGTTAATTTGCTCTTTGCTATGTGTGTATATATAGGAAAGTCATATACTTAATCAGAGTAATTTTTTTTTTTTATAGAATTATTTCACTCAATTATTTATAGTCTGTAAATTAAAAGAGATATACTTAAATTAAATTTTTTTAATAAATAGATCAAGCCTGTAAATTTGTATAAAATTTAAAAATTATTTGATACTATATTTCATTAATTTAAGTTTTTGTATTATGAGTATACATAAATTTGAATTAATAAAAGAAAATATAAAATAATTTTTGAATTTTATACAAATTTGTAAACTTAATCTATTCATTAATAATTTTGAATTTAATAGTTGGATCATGATATTGATGATGTATGGTTAGTTAAAAAAATTTACACAATCAAATCAATAAAATTATAATTTTTATGACTTTTAAATTATTTATTATAAAAGTCAACATACTTATTATTTATACAAATTGTAATTAGATGACTGATTGTATAAAATTATTTTATATTATTATGTGCCACTATTAAACTCTATATATAAAATAAAAAAGATCTTGCTAGTAAATAGTTGACTTCTTTAAACATTAACACAAGCAAGATTTTATGATCATGTGCATTGAAAAAATAATTGTTAACAGAAATAAAATTCATTTATGCGATCATATGTTTAGATGGACTTAGTCTTCAACAACCAATTGGAAGATGTAATTATTTCACGTCAGTGTATATACGGTGGATGTTCAACAATTATTTTTTTTTCCTTTTTCAAATGATCACTTTTCTTAAAAGACTTTTGTATAAGATTCAACTTCACAAAAATATTTTTTTTTATTATTTCTTTAAATTAAGTTTCACCAAAAAATTTCAGTATCATCTATGAATTTCCCAAATGTATGTGATGCATATACACACCTTAATTTCATATATATGATTTATTGCAGATGCTCAAATTGGCGTATGTTATGGCATGTTGGGCAACAATCTACCACCAGCAAACGAAGTTGTGGGTCTTTACAAATCAAACAATATAAGGAGAATGAGACTGTATGATCCTAATCAAGCTGCTCTACAAGCACTTAGAAATTCCGGCATTGAACTCATTCTTGGAGTGCCCAATTCCGATCTTCAAGGCCTTGCCACAAATGCTGACACTGCTCGCCAATGGGTGCAAAGAAACGTGTTGAACTTTTGGCCTAGTGTCAAAATCAAGTACGTGGCAGTTGGCAATGAAGTGAATCCTGTTGGAGGCTCTTCTTGGCTAGCCCAATATGTTCTACCTGCTGTCCAAAACGTGTACCAAGCTATAAGAGCTCAAGGCCTTCATGATCAGATCAAGGTTTCAACGGCTGTTGACATGACCCTAATAGGAAACTCCTACCCTCCATCACAAGGTTCCTTTAGGGGTGATGTGAGGTCATACCTAGACCCAATAATTGGGTACTTGCTATATGCGAGTGCACCTTTATTAGTCAATGTGTACCCTTATTTTAGTTACTCCGGTAACCCTCGTGACATATCACTTCCCTATGCTCTTTTCACCTCACCAAATGTTGTGGTACAAGATGGTCAATATGGGTACCAAAATTTGTTTGATGCTATGTTGGATTCGGTGCATGCCGCAATTGATAACACTAGGATTGGTTACGTGGAGGTGGTTGTGTCCGAGAGTGGGTGGCCCTCGGATGGAGGGTTTGGTGCCACTTATGACAATGCACGCGTGTACTTGGATAACTTGGTTCGTCGTGCTAAAAGAGGTAGTCCAAGAAGGCCTTCAAAGCCCACAGAGACTTACATATTTGCCATGTTCGATGAGAATCAAAAGAGTCCGGAGATAGAGAAACATTTTGGGCTCTTCAGTCCCAATAAGCAAAAGAAATACCCGTTTGGGTTCGGTGGAAAAAGGGATGAGGAAGTTTTTATTGATGACTTCAATGCAACGATTTCTCTTAAGAGTGACATGTAAGGTGGGAATCACACTTCTCTCAAAATATATGTTGTTTCAGCCACTAAATAAGAGAGAATGTGTTGATGGTCTGAAATATTTATCCTTCACTTTTGGATAAATAAGTGTCGAAAAAGTTAATAAGATGAAACTATATAATATGAGGCACGGTCAATTACATCTCTTAGTTATCTGAATACTATTTTATTATTTATTTTTTTAATTATATGACACACTTCATTATATCATTTTTAATTATTATATAAAGATTGTGCAATTGGTTAAGTATTTTTACTCTTTTTAAGAAATTAAGAATTTAAATTTAGATAATTATAAGAATAATTAGAGATTAATTTCACTAACCTTCCAATGTAAATCCTTCCCAATTTTTATTTAATGTTGTAATTATATTATTAATTTAATTAACAGTCCACAACTATATTTTAATCCTAATTCATCATGCGAGAAACTCTAGATTGTTTAAGAGAAATTTCAATTCCTTGATAATTTTTGTTAAACAATACTACATTAAGGTCAAAGACCAAAAATCAATCGATAAAATTTATTCCAATTTTTCAATAATAAATGTTATTAGTGTTTTACTTAGATCATAGTTCTAGAAGAGTTTTTCAACCTCAGTCAAAATTATAAAATCATACATTGACCAAAACATGCATTAAGTACAAAGTAAAAGTGATTAACTGAATAAAAATAATATATTGAATGAGAACATAGAAGATTATATGAATACAACAACTACATCAATCTCCAATAGTAAAAAATTTAGTCACTCATAATAAGGATTACACAAGCAAAGAGGAATCTTCAATTGACCTGTGATTACAAGGACACTCTCACAAGAATTCTCTCTAGTCTCTCTAAAATAGTGCTTAGAAAAGTAATGAATGGATATAGAGACCTCTTAGAGACCTTATTTATGTAATATTTTCTAAAAACCTACTAGTATCTATATTTCCTTGGCATGGTCTCATCTGGAAAAAAAAAAAGATGTGTCAACTATTCTCAAGATTTGTTTCACAAAAAGAAAAAAGTGATGGGGCATTCCACACCCTAGCCTGCAATCTAGTTTGAGTTGGGAGGCAAACTCTACAAGCCCGCCACATGAGGCTTTTCACCCATAGGGGAACATTTAGTTTCCAAATTGAACTCCAAGATCTAGGCATTTTCAAACTACTATTATAAATAATATGCAAATTTTACATAATAATGACCACCTTTGCTCAAGTTTTAGATACAACATCTTCTGTCAAAGTCAATAATAGGAATATTTATGATGACCTCATAATCTCTTAAGTTGAACAAACTAGCACTTAATTCCATGTTCCAACAATGTTGGTTATGACTAATTAGGGATCCAACCAACATGTTCTTAAGACCAAATTCTACATATATCTTAATATATGAAGCAATATTTCTAAAACTAGACCAATCTAAGTTCTAGTTCAAGGTTTAATGGTTCAACTGTGGTTGAACTATGATCAGACATGTATTAATAAAATAATAATTAATAATACAAAAAATATTTAATAAATTTAATCTCATAATTTTATATCACTAAAAATTAAGATAAAACATCATTTATAAGTTCTTAACATTCAATATATATATAAGAGTCCAAATAAAGTGTAATATAATATTTAAGTTCAAATTTTAATAAAATAAATAATGTGCATTAACAATAACATGTTTGTATCTAAATGTCAAATTAATTTAATATAAATTATAAAAACTTAATATACAAAAAGTTGTAAATTAAGATAAATGATTAAATTATATTTTTATAAAATAAATATAAAAATAATAGACTAAAAAATTCAAAATAATTTTTTTTATTAAATGTATATTTTTTATTATTAAAATATTTAAATTAAATTTTTAAAAAATGAACAGAACCAAATTATACCAATTTTCTACATTAGTTTTTGACCCGTTCATAACGATTATGAAATGCTCGAATCTTTTTCATTAGTAATTATACTAGTCACCAAATTGTTTCATGATTCGACTAGGCAAACTAGTTGGTCTAATTTCAAAACAATGGTACAAATTATCTTTTTTGCAAAGGATAAAACTTAGGTGCAATTCTTTAAGTGTGATTGGTACTATTCTCCAATCAGAATTAGAATTTTACTTCATAATATGCATATAAATTTAATGAATGTATATTATTGAACTTTGTATTAATTGTAAATTTATATTATTGAAGTAAAACTTTAATTTTTATTGGAGAACAACATCAACCACACATGTTTCGACCACAAATGTGATCACCCTACTAGAGCACTTAATTTTCTTTTTTTCTCCATTTCTTGGGTGTGCTTTTACCCTCAAACAATAACCCCTCTTCCCTAGGGGATTGTCTTTCTTTTTAACCTAGTTGTAGAGCTTCATGGTCGTGATCTTGAGGCCTGTTTTTTATCCTTAATCTCAACATTTTTCTACCATGTCCATGATTATTGAATTTTGTGTATCTCAGGTACATTTATCTTATCAAGTTGTGGTTAATATCCTTTATCTATCATTTTAATTGAGTCATTGTAATTGACATGGTAGGAGCGACCGTCATCTTTTTATGATGAGCTTAATCAGCATTGGATAATATAACATGTTTGGTTGGTCATAAACCTATGAGAGTACACAATCCTTAGTCTCAATTCTAAAAAGAAAAGGCTAATTGATTTTCAAATGAGATCTTAGTTTATGAGATCACGCTAAATATTGCATGCTTGGTCGGTCACCATCTCATCTATAGATCGGTTAGTCTTGGTTTAATCATGTATCACTAGGGGTACATAACCACTTAGTCTCGAGTCTTAAAAAGATGAAGAGATTGTTTGGTTTCTAGATCAGGATTAAGTAACTAAAAAAGCTTGGTCGCCTCTATCCCAAGCACACGCTTCAACTTGAATGTTCAAATGATGCATTTCTTCAATGTTTACTCATCATAAACCTCTACTTGTGGCTCAATGGGTTGCACCTTCTCTTTAAGACTCTTCTCAAAACACAATGTGAGATGATATGAATTTAATCTGACCAAATGACATGCATTGAAAAATGAAGAGACCTTTGATCGAACGACGTATGTCTCATGTCGCTTGGCATTTCAAACCTCCCTTCCTTGGCCTATAAATAGAAGACACCTCTTCTCGAGTTTTCTTACCAAAGGTGAAAGAGAGAGGAAGTGGTTCATTGCTACTATAACATCGTGGTAGCGGGCAAATATTCACAATGTGGTGGTGAATGGGGCAATGAATGCTAGAGTGCTTAAAGACTCCATTTATAGGTACGTTCCTCTCCCCTTGCCATTATTCACTATGTTCTATTTAGGAGGAGAGGTTGTGTGAGTGAATATTGAGAGAAAATGAACTATAAAGAATGGTGTACATGTACCTGTACCCATGGGTGAAGGATGACATCCTCCGTTTGAAGTCTGTCTACTCGAACTAGAACTCGGTGGGACGTTTCAACCTAAAGAATATAATCACCAAAGATGGGGTTGAGGAGAACATCATTATTGAACCCTACACCATTAATCTTTGGTATGTCACCCTGATGTTCTTGAACCCAAAAGGCGTTACTTAGTAACAAATATTGTTTTGGTCAACCATGAAGGTGGTCTTGTCTTCATCGCTTGAGAGCATTCGAATATGGTTGTAACTTGAGTAGACATCGATAAAACTCAATAACTCACAACCAGATGCTCCATCTACTAAGCAATTAATGCTCGACAATGAGTGTGAGTATTTTGGGCAAGCCTTGTTGAGATTGGTAAAGATTGTACACATACGCCACTTGCCACTAGATTTCTTCACATCACTATGTTTGACAATCATGTCAGATAACTTATCTCTCTTATGTGGCCCACTCCCAACAACTTTGTTGCCTATTTTACAACTACCTTCCTCCTCTCCTTATAAAACTCCCTCGTCTTTTGGACAACTTTTGCCCTAGAATCCAATGCTAGTTTGTGGCATAGGAAATATATGTTTGATTCTAAGCATGTCGCCTGGGCTCCATGCAAAGTTGCTTTCATTCCTTTTCACCATGTTGATTATGCCATCCTCCACATTGCCACTCAGCCCAATCCCTATCTTAACTAACTTTCCTTTATGTCCACTATCTTGACATCCTCTATCGATTGGGGACTTCTCTCCTAGAAGTCCTTTCATGGATCTAACTCCACAACATTAACATCGTGATTACTCTAAGAGTTGTACAAGTTTCGTTGTCCTCTATCTTAAAGGCTTTTTACACATTAGTCTTTGTCTCTTTCCAGCTTCTCCTAGTTAATCGCTCTCTTTCCGAGCCTTTTGTGATGTGATTGGGTTGTTGATATTGATGATTGATGTTCTACTTTTGGGGTTGCTATTTTTTCTCGGTCCCAACTTGATTACTTGGTGGTCTTGCAAGTAAATTGTGGTTGCAAGATCTAGTGTAAAAGTTGAATATCACAACTTAGCTACAATTACTGCAAATTTGTTATGGGTTCAAATGCTACTACATGAACTCTCCATCCCTTGCTTCACACCAACTATCTTTTGTGACAATCAAAGTGTTGTTCATCTTGCTCACAATCTTTTTCTTCATGCTCCTACCAAGGATATGAAATTATACCTTTTTTGTGCGAGAGAAAGTTATTAATAAGCAAATTAAAGTGTCTCATATCTCAAGAACTAATCAAAATTGTTGATTTGTAACTAAGCCTCTACCCATAGCTCGTTTTTTGGACTTATCATCCAAGCTCATGTGTTCAAACTTTTGGCTCAACCACCTTGATCTTGTGGGGGGTGAGAATATAATTCTCTTTGAATATTTTTCTGTTAATAGTTAGTTTGATATAATGATGTATAGTTGGTCAGATATTAATTTAAACATATGAATCTTTAGTTAGCGATTGATACAATTGATCTAAACATATATATATATATATATATATATGTGTGTGTGTGTGTGTGTGTGTGTGTGTGTGTGTGTGTGTGTGTGTGTGTGTGTGTGTGTGTGTGTGTGTGTGTAAATAGATTTGAGTATGTGTGTGAAATCATTTTGATAATCTTCATCAATAATATTTCGTTTATGAACTCCCTCACTCTCACTTTTCTTCTTACATCACAAGCCTCAACATGAGTTCGTACGATATAATTTTATAAAAAACAATCAATATTTAGTCTTCAATTCACTTTCATATGACAACAAACATTAATCATAATCAATATAATAACACGGTTCAAACATTAAATTAAAACACCCCACAATTAGTTTCAAAGTGTCCAAAAACAAGGTGTTGTCTACCACCTTGGCACTAAGTGTCAAACAACCACAAAACACCTTTTATTCCCTATGATCTTGACACTAAGCATCAAAGAGGTAGAGAACGCTCCTTACTATGATAATGGAAAGTGAATATAAAAATCCTAAAATTTAGCTGACTTAAGTTATGTCATCTATATCCTTCACTTCTTGACTTTAACTCATATTGATTGAAATGTAAATTTTTTTTACATGTAATAGTTTCATCATTATAAAACGTAAAAGAAATTATTATATATATATATATATATATGTGTGTGTGTGCGCGCGCGCGCGCGCGTGCGCGTGTGTGTTTAGATGAGAAGAAAATAATGAAAAAGAGAGAAAATTTTCAAATTTAAATTGAATAAAAAAATTAGGAAAAAAAACTAATTTTTTTAAGATTAGTTTCCTTTATTTTTTTTCAACTAAATAATAAAAACTTTAAAATTTTAAATGATTTTCATCCTATTTTTTTCTCTGCACTGAACAATATAATAGGTACCTATCAAAGATAATTAAAAAAAAATTACAGCAAAATAATGTGACACTATTTTATTATTCTTTACCCATTACTTATAATATAAAGTTATAAATAACATTAAAAAAAATTATAAACATCATACTGTTCTTGTGTCGCGCGAGCACGCTACAATTTCTTTTCTTCAGTTGAAACTTTTGAGTTAGTTATTAACCGTAATTGGAAATAACGTCCAAAACGAAAGTCAATATGTCTTGTCAAGTTTTTTTATTTTTTATTTTCTTAAACTCTTACTTAAATATTCATGTAATTTTTCTTTTTGATTTAGGAAAATTTATAATCATGTGACTTTATTAACTTTGCCTGAATACACGAGACCTGCCAATAATAATATTGTCTCATGAAAAGAGGAACAATTAAAATTAAAATAAAACAAAAATTTGCAATACCATGAAGAGGCATCCAGTAAAGTCAAATACGACATCGTTTCAAGTACTAGTTAGTCCAAAATATGCACGAACTTACTTGCGCGTAGCATTATAAATATATTTTATTTTATTAAAATAGTATTTAATTTTTGGCTGAAAGAGAGCGACCTTACCGAAAGGCATAAAACGCATCGTTTGGTTCAATCCCTTTTCCTTCTTCCATCTTCTTTCTTTTTCCTCTCTCGATTCTGTTTCTCTGCCACATTATACTTATTTATCGTAGATACTGAAAAAACTGTACGCATAGCACAGCAGAGAGCTCCCTCCTTGAATCTAAATTCGCATTGTGGCGCGTGATTCACACTCGACGGGTTCCGCGGAATTTGACTGGCCCAGGACACGGTTACTCTCGAATTCCAGTGACCGAACCTCTCGAGGTGCAGGAACCACCATGCGTAACCATGTTTATCTTTATGCGTACTCAATTCCATTGATGAAACCTGTTTGGATTAAAATTGTTTATTATATTTAACAATTTGGAATGTTTTTCTTTTTTGATTTTTGAGGGATTGGTGTTGTTTCTTGTGGTTAGTTGGATTTTCTTTGATTGGTTCTCTGTGGACGTGTGTGCTGCGAGTTTATGGCTAGTTTATGTGGTTGTGAAGCTTTGGTACATTGAATTTAGGGTTTTTTTTAATCTTTTTTTGTTTGCTCTTGATGGTGCAGAGGAATGCGTCATGGATTCTGTGGAGGTTCAGGGTTTCAGTGGAGTGGATAAGAGCTTTGGAGAGTGCTTCTCTGGTTGAATCTGTCACTCATTTGTAAGTTTTATTTTTCTTTTTTAATTTCGATTAGTCGGCTCTTTGGATTTTCAGTTTGATGAATGGTGAATGGAATGTGAGATTAAGAATGGGGGAAGTGATTGGAAAATTTGAGTAGGGTTTGAATGTTTGATTTAATTTTATTAGTGCATTTTATGCCTAATGCTGCAGATATTTCGTTATCCTTTGCTTTTGTTTGAGCAGTTTTGGAGTGTGAGGCAGGGAGGGCGGACATTTTGGTGCTTAATTGTTTGTGTGTGCTGATCCTTTCTCATGTTCTATGTTTAGATCTTGGTGTGTGAATGCTGAATAGGTTTTCTTCTGAGAAATGTTCTGGATTTGATGGGGCACCATGCTGTTGGGTGATGTTTCTTTTTTTCTTTTTTACATGAAGGACTAATAGCTTTAGGTCATGTTAGCAGAACAATTGAGGGATTTCTGTTATGGCTGGAGCAATGCCATTTGTGAGACATATAATACAATGTAGGCATGCTAGAAGAGGGATAAAAAGGGAAACCCAGAGCATTAGGCATGCACCTAGTGGGGTTTGGGGAGAGTAGATGTATGTATGCAACTTTAATATATGAATGTGGAATGGGAAAAGAGGACGTGGAGTGGGAAATGGTCAGAAGGCTGAGACTGATAGTACCAAATTGGATGTTAAATATGAATGTGCTTGCTGGTTCTCTTTGAAAGTAAGTAGAGATTAGTGAATCTGGATATCTTCTTTGTACTGTGATTGAGTTACTTATGCCTCAAAGGTGATTGATTTCATTATATTTTTTGACAGTTAAATCACATACTGTGAAGAATTTATTTTTGGCAATTTTGGGTGATACATTATAAACAGCTGTAGCTGAAAAAAAAATGTAAGAGAAAAGAGGGGGGAAATATATTTTCCTGTATTTTTTAATGCATGCTTGTTTCATTATTATACCAATGCCATTACCAAAAGTCTAAACTCAAATTGGGACATTTCTTTATGCAAGTACTTGAGAAGATTCAGACCTGGTTTCCAAATTATCATTTTGTTTTGGAGTTAGATGTCAAAGGCCTACACCTTGATCAGAAGACTTGTAGATTGGAAAGCTAATGTAAGGACAACGCTCTAGTGCTCTACATTCCTCATATTCAAAGCAAATAGAGGGGGCTTTCCCAATGACACATGAGAACTACTTACGGTGTCATGTGATAGGATTTGGAATGAAGGATGCCTCCCTTTAGCCACCGGATCATAAGATGAGAGGTCTTGCTGCTAGCAAGGCACATCACACTTTAAGCACATGATCATTTAGTAACTTGTTTATTTTAGTCAGCCTTTTACCATCAACTTTACCTACCAGCTACCAACATGCTTACTGACAAGAAACTAATTAATTAAACAGAACGCTGACCATCCTTATCTCAAACTCTGGTCACTGTGCTTTGTCTCATAAAGCAGGTGCTGCTGAGATTGTAGCTAGAGTAGAATGTCACAAGATGCTCTCCTATTACTACACATTGCATGCATGATAGTGATGTACCTAATAGATGTCAATGAAGCATCTGTCCATGATTTGACTCTAAATATCTGACAATGTGCTAGAGAATAGAGAAATATGACCCTGTAAATATAAGAAATAACAACAAGGAACACCTCTATTCTTCCCTCCAAAATTCAAATAATCAATTCTCATTGTCCTCTCATTTAATTACATATTCCAGTTTGAAACATTTGAGAGATCGACAAACTTGTGAGAGGATGACTAATGGTGTGTACTCGTATCACACTCCAAGTGCTTTCTGACTGTCTTGCTTTTTAGCTGCTGTGGCATTTCATCTCATTTGTTCTCTCTTATCATTCCAAGCAAGGTAGTCGCTGTCTCTAATTGTGATTACTTTCTTTCAAACAGGAACCTTACCTTTGTATGAAAAAAAATCCAAGCCTCACATCAACTAGAGATAAAACAAACAAAGTTTATAAGTGGGAAACAACTCTTAGCTTATAAATGATTTTGTAAGGATGAATTAGGCTCAAACCCACTATCTAAGATGATATTAGAGTTATCTAGATCCACTCTAAAAATGTCACCCACCGCTTATATATGCACCAAGTTCAATAGTATTGGGCATGAGGAGGTGTATTGGGAAAAACCCAAACCCTACCTATCCTAGATCATTAGAAAGGGTCACTCACCATTTATCATGTAGCAAACCTAATAGTGTTAGACGTTATGGGGTGTATTGAGAAAAGTCTTAATCTTGTCTATCCTAGATCATTAAAAAGGACTACCCGCCATTTATCTATGTACGTATCAAACCTAATAGTGTTAAATGTGAGGAAGTGTATTTGGAGAAATCTAAGTTCCACATCAACTAAAGATAAGATAGAAAAAGAGTTTCTAAATGGGAGGCAATTCTCCTCATACAAGTCGATTTTGTAGGGTTAAGTTAGATTTAAACCTACTATATGAGACTCTGAATTACATTGTTATCTGTATGAGAGCTGAAGGATAAATAAGCCTCATTTTCATTTTAAACTTTTTTCTTGTTATTACAATATTGCGGTGAGCCTTTGTGCAATGGTAAGGTTTTTTCCTTGTGAGTTGGAGGTCAGGGTTCAAATCTTGATAATAGTCTATTTGCTTGCGGGGTAAGGCTACATTCATCTGCCCTTGGGAGCCTTGTGCATTGGGCAGCCCTTGGTTATGTTACTACTGTATTGTTAACTTAAAAATATTAGTTATAGACAGGGGGCTGGTGGTTTTAAATGCACATTAGTCATGTCTTTTGCTTAAGTTTGAGATTAAAATTTGTTTAGTTGTTTGGTATGATGGTATGATTGGATGGAAGGGTATTAATTATCACCGTTTTTCATGGGATGGTAGAATCCTGGGAAATAAGCAGGCAAAAGAAAGTGTTATTTTTGTTTTACCTTGTATTCTTTCTTAATAAATGAATTCAAAATTAGAATCTTGGCCATTTGCTGTTTGTTATTTTCTATTTAATACTTTCCTCAGTAATTGTCTTTTAATTTTATTATCACTATTTTTCTTAAATGTAGGGAA